CTGTAACCCAGATCTGAATGTTATCCGTCTTCACCTGGCTCTTCTACCTGGCATTGGATCTCAAAGGATGCCAGGATCACGACCCTTGTTTGACAGAGGGGGTGTAAAGTGATATGACTGCGGGGGTCCATACATGCACCTGTTCCAAAATGTCCCAGCGTGTCTCCCATTGTTTTACTGGCTACATGTCACGAGGCCAGCATTGCTTGGGCATCTGCATATGTGCATGCCAGCAAAACAGCATACGCTGAGCAGCTACTGCAGGAACAAAGGTGAGATGACTGCCTTCCCTGCCGTAAGATTGCTGGCTTGGTAGAGGGATGATGCTGGAAAACTGGCTACGCCAGCTCTGTGGCATGCAGTCACATGCCAAATTTCAAATCTCTGCCCTTTGCAAGTAAGCAGAGGGTCAAAGTGACTTGACTAAGGTCATGCAGCAGGTCAGTGGCAGAGCCAGGTCTCGACTTCAGCATTGCTTTAGCCATAAGAGGATGCCTATTAAGATGCTTGGAAACTAAAACCACCTGAGAGAACAGGAAACACTCTGAAATAGAAAAATAGGAGTGGAAAGAGGAGGAGGAGATTGTGAGGAGCGGCCATTCTCAGATACAGCACACCTTAGGGAGCAGAGAAGCGGTTAGTCATAGGTAAAGGAAAACATTATTGATCTATGGTGTGCAAAACATAGGAAAACCCCACAAGCCAGCTAGCATCGGTGAACGGAGAGAATGTCATCTGATGGGTCAAATTTGCCAGATGTGACTGGGGTAGATAAGATAGCATTAAACTGCTGATCCAGGTGCAGGGATGGCTTGTTTGTTAGCACCTGGCAATCAGGCTGAGCTCCCTTCCTGGGCTCCTCAAGCTTTACTGCAACACAGGTGATAAAACCAGAGTAGGAGAAGACCCAGGCAAACCAGGTGGCAGAACAGTATTTTTAATGGTTGCTTGGAAGGAGAAATTATCTTATCAAGATGTTTAAACCACTGCAGCAGAGCTATTTCAGCTGGAAATAGAGACTGTCTCCTACCACAGTTAGGGCATCTGATGAAGTAAGCTGTCACCTGGGAAAGCTTATGCTTCTCTGAACCAGCTAGTCTCTAAGGTACTACTGCCCTGTCTTCTACCTGACCTTGGACTAACATGGCTATTAACTACTTCTCTCTAGTCACTGGGAGTCTCTGAGTGTAATCTCCCCATTTTCCTCTGGCTTCCTGTGGGTTGACAACAGGGAAAGCCCATTTTCCTCAGGACAGCTTTTCAGATTTGCCTTAGAGTAAGCAAGACGTAGAAAAAAACATCCTCAAGCTCAGACTGACTTTTGCTGTTAAAGAGAAATGCAAACACAGTTCATAGATTTATCTCTCTACAGTTCCTGTATTAATGACCAGAAAATCAGAAATCCATGTAGTGACTACCTACTGAAATGTTTCACTAGATTTCCCGGGGCTTTTGCTTCTCAACTGTGTGTGTTTGGCTCACCAAAAATAGCCTGTGGAATTCAAGTCTGAGATAACGCGTAGGTGGTTAGGAGAGGCATTTGTTACCATCCAGCTGTGCTATTCAGACACGGCGGCCTTTGCTTGAGTGATTCTGTTCGTTTCTCATCCCTCTGCGTTGTGGCAGGCTCATTTTCACTCTACCCGTGGAAAGTTTGAAGGTTGCTAAAACTTTGCTTTCCCCTCACCGTGGGCTCTTTCTGTGATTTGTTTCACTGCAGGTTTTTTGCTTTGATTTCACGGGTAAACAAGCAGTGGAGATGGCTGCAGGACTCGAAAACCAGAGACAGACTGATAAAACTCTCTCTTACGTGTGTACAGTATAACCACCTTGCACAGAGCAGGAAGCTAATGGCTGGAGGTCTTCCTCCCACACAAGCTGCCTAACAGCACGAACACACAGCATCTGTACTGCATCTATACAGTCAAAGTAGATGGACATCACACACAGCATCTGTACAGTCAAAGTAGATGGACATACAACACACAGGCAGCCCTACTACATAGGGCTCACGCAACTCCAGGGTAGTTACTCCTTGAAAAATGCATAGGACTTTCACTACATGTGAAAATTATCACATGGAAAAATTATATGTCCCTTCCTTCTGCCAGTTTTACACCAGGATAGCTATTTGCTCAATATAAATGAGACTATCTTGTGACTAGACACTATAAGAGCCTTTTCGGTGGGCAAACAAGCATGGTAGAGCTGGTTGTATGGCTGATCCTTACTATGGAATTTACTGCATTTATTACAGAGTAAAATCTGAACTACTCTGGAGAAACCATAGGAGAAATTGTCCTGTGCATCTGCACCATCAGCCGCAGGTGGACAGGCTTCATGGAGTCTCTGCTCTTCCCACTTCACAAATCTTCTGCTGTGGCTTGAGACCTCTGTGCGAATGTGTTTGCCGAGATATTATTTTGCTTGTGCTATGGTACCATTGTTCACTGCGAACATCCAAATTGGCAATCTGTTCTCTTTGCACCTTATCTTTACATCCTTGTGCCTCTCGTCTCTGGGTGGTACCAGCCACTACACATGCCTTCTACTCTTCCAAGTCACGTGTTGCAGTAGTTCCTCTCAGTTCTAGCCTCCCACCCTAGCTGTGGTTGCAGTGGGTTTGAGGGCACAGCACCTTGATACTTGCAGTGTTTCCTGTATTGGTTTGGTGCTTACTCCTCCCTTTAACCCTGAAGGGATTGCCTGGCCTGGGGGGAAGGGATTTCCTGGAGATTATTTTTCACATAGAAGGGCTTACAATGATTTCTGCCATATTCCTATTCCAAGAGAGTCCCTGACAATGTAGAACAATGGCCCAATCCTCCCTTTTTTCTGCCCTTCAAGCAGTCATTGGGCACATCTACATGTTCATTAATGTGCAGTGGTTACTGCGCATTTAATTTAGTACTTGTATAATCAGTAGTGCTGGTGAACACCTTTTTAGCCTAATAATACTGCACAGTAGTGTATTAGCACTGTCCGTGCCGTGACTCGCTACTGAGAAGTATTATCAGGCTACTGCGCAGTTAATGTGTCATGTAGACACTAACACTGTGTGGGTTTAAAATGCTGGCAGATCAGAATGGCAGTCCTTTACACCTACCTCGCACCCATGTAAAAAAGTGCACAGGACTTATGACAACAGAAAAGAAAACCAGGCCCAGTGTATGTGAACTGGGAGGGGATCCTGTTTCAGTTTGGGGATTTTTTGTTTTACACACCCAGTCACTGAAGCAGGGAAGCCTGATTTCGATATTAAACCAGCATAATGCATCCCATAGGAAATGTTCCCAAAATACCGGGCACATAGGAGGAGCTAGTTATCTCTGTAGCTTGGGCACATGCAGTGCCGGGAGAATGGAACTCCGAGCTGGACATTCTGCCAAATTAGGTTATTAAGCCAAAATGGGTTTGTTTCCAAGTGTTTTCGTTAGGAGACATGAGAAAAAGAGGGACTGGCTGTGACTGTAACCAACAATTTTTTAGAATGCTCAATAACAAATATAACCCACATCCCACATCCAAGTACCTAACATGTTTCCTCCCCACCCCCCACAAACAAGACTGATATTTCTCATTTTCTAAAAGTTTGTTCTATTGCCAATATAAGTTGTGCGTTCCCTCCAGGGTTCACAGCTCCCTAATTATTGCTCCACTGCACCGTGCTGATCAAAAGCTCATTGCAGGCAGTGGGAAACCATCCACTGATTTTGGAGTAAGTTTGATGTGCATTATAGAAGAATACACATACATATTATCGCTAGGTAAGAGCTCCTGCCTTTCCACAGCTATGCTCAGACACTTGATTGGCTTCAGACCTGAACTCCGTCAGTAAAACACTTGCAAGCATCATTAGTTTCTTAATGATGGTTGATTTAATTAAAAGAGTGCAGTATGCCTTTTATTAATACAGTGAGAATTCAGGCATGCACAAGAGGTCTTGTCCAAGTGGTAGACCAAAGGAAATCCTGTTGCCACACCTAAAAAAGCAAAAAAAAAAAAATCCTCAAAGGGCAGGAAGTAAGTTACCATAATGTAGGCAATTGACTGCATGAGAAAGTATGTATATTTCTTCATAAAATGCTTTAATTAGAAACACTTAATGATCATTAATATGCAGAACAGGCAATATTTGGAGAACGAAAGTTTCACCACAGATTTAATTTGTCATGAGAAGGTTTCCCTCTTCACTGGGAAGTGTTCTAGGTTGAAGGCTTAATAATAGGTATCCATTGCAAAGGTTTGCATAAATAAATGACAACAGATTTGTGTCAAATAATTTGTGAACAAAGTAATGGAGAGGAAGGCTAGTCCAGGGACTAGGGCACAAGTGTAGGACTTGGAGACCTGGATTCAAGTCCCTGTTCTGCCAGACTGCCCTTGTGACCTTGGGCCAGTTATTTAGCTTTGCTGCACCATAATTCTTGATCTGTATAGTGGGAAGCTCAGCCCTGGTGCTAGGACATTCCACCTCCCTTCCACCATAAGCATACAATTACCTCAACAGGCTCTTGCCCTGTATCTCCAGCACAGGGAGGAGAGAGGGGGCTCACTGCCAGAGACCACAGAGCCTCCAACCTGTTCCAACCTGGATCAGGGAGTTGTAGCCTGCTCCCTGACAGCACTCTACCCCTACATGCACTGAACCCATCAAAAGCTGGATGTAGGAAAGAAATTAGCCTATAGTCCCCATAGAGCCTTGAGAAGATTTGACTGGCTGAGGGAAACATGTTGACCCTCTCTGGATGACACTATGGCAGGATTTTTGTTAAAATCCACCTGTATCGGGAGATATGAAAAGCCTGTATGCTATGCTGCTATTCCAAATAGCAAAGTTTTGCCTTATTCTGATGTTGGTGCTGCCTTGGGAACTTGTTCAGGACCAGTGTGACCCCTGAGCCAGGTACCATCATTTAAAAGGTCCCCAGGCACGTGATACGCTTTGCGGATTCGACTCCCAATGGAGCTGAGAGCTGGAGACAAAAGGAATCAGTAGATGTAGCTAAGAAGCAATTTTCATCTTCCTTTATTTGTTGAAAATGTCACTTAAAAAACTGTTCAAAATAAAAACATGTTAGAAAAATTGAACTTGCATAAGTAGGAACAGTAAATAAACCAACATGACAAAAGATAAACTGGAAGGCAGCGGACACAGAGCATCCAGCTAACAACAGACAAAATTGGAACATATTTACAGAGTATTGTAAACAAAGTAAATATGGAAACACTGCTATCAGTTTGACATGGCTTCTTTTCCTTTATTCATTGACTTCTTTTTGGCTTGTAACGCTCCGTACATGTGCCTGTTCCAAAATGTACCAGCGTGTCTCCCATTGTATTAAAAGTCTTATAAACATGCATATGTACACAGCATGGGTTTCAAATCAACTCGCTAACCTGATGGATATACTTCTATCCTTGGTGCAGGACTATAAATTGCTGACATTTATTTCTTTTACTGGCTACATGTCACGAGCCAAACATTGCTTGGGCATATGCATACATGCATGCCAGCAAAACAGCATACACTGTGCGGCTACTGCAGGAACAAAGGTAAGACTATTGCCTTCCCCGCAAGATCGCTGGCTTGGTAGAGGGACGATGCTGGAAAACTGGCTGCGCCAGCTCCATGGCATGCAGCCGCATGCCAAATTTCAAATCTCTGCCCTTTGTAAGTAAGCGCGTGTTGGACAGGTTGCCATGGCCAGTGGTCAGCTGAAGTGGGGCTTTGCTCCCCGTGCACAAATTCAGAGAACGGCTATTTAGCAGGTAGCTCTGGAGACTGCATACTACCACGGACTTGGGATAGAGACAGAGAGTGCTAGCCAGGGCAAGCAAGGTCTAAGTCCATGTACCTAGAATTAAACACAATCCCATTTGCATAGGCTTTGCCATGTTCCCAGAATCCAGCTCTCTCGCCTGATCTACCCCTCCCTGGCTGAACTCTAATGGCAATAGGGGGACTTACAGTTATTGCCAGGGATATTTCTTGCATGAAGAACTTAACAGCATGGCTACATAGTGGTCCGTGATACATCTGCGTATCTTGGGAGCTCACCATCACCTGATATTAATAAGAGTAACCATAGTCCGGACTCTCTGTTAAAAAGTTTAAATGGTATATGACTAAGAAAAAGGAAGAGCATATGTAACAAGAGTAAGGTAACCCACAGCCAGATGGAAATGCAGGACATAGACTTTTGGTACACATATGCTGTGTAATACACTGCATTTAGCTTGCGTCTGTAACAGTTATTTGTAAGAACTTTAGATGTTTTTTCACGCAAGGAGATGGGTGACCATTCCAGCTCTTGTCCAAGCTCTTGTCTATGTGGCCACTGCTTGCTTTTCTAACTAAGGAGAAGGAACTATTCCTAATGTAAAAAAAATCCTCAAGCAAATCATTGTCAAGCAGAGTCTGCATTGCATACAGAGAGGCATGCACTGCAAGGTAAAAGCACTGGGAAAATACAGAACTTACAATACATGGACACTAAGGAAGCAAAAATGTAACAGGACAAAAGAATTAGAAGGCATGCATCAGAAAAAGGAGTATGGGCAACACAGTGGATAACCCCTGTGTTAACTGTTGCCTGCTAGGAGGCAGTACTGTCCAGTGCAACTTCTGAATGCACTGATGACAGACACTCCAGATCGTACTGTGCCAAGGAGTTGAATTAGAAATGTCATAATGTTAATTGCACATTTTAATCTGTATAAAGGCCACGCGGGAACCACAGTACTACTGGGCTCGAGTTCACTACAAACAACTAATAGAGGGAAAATATTTGGATGGGAAAAACTTTCATTTTTGACTCTCAGAACAGAAGTGCTCATAGCTTTTTTGATTTTTACCCAACTCAGTAACCCTTCTATTCAATAAATTAGGTACCGGGTGCTTTAAAAAGAATAAAAATGAAAGCATAAAAAAGTGCTTGAATTTCCTCAGTAGGAAACTACTGCCAACCCTCTTTGGACTAGCAATCATTAACAGAGTTTGCATTCACTCCCAGTAGCAGGTGCAATGAGGTATTAGTTGCTGCAGATGACTTGTGTCTCATAGACCACTTGCTGACCATTTTAGCTCTGACTGTTTACTTGTTTGTGGTATGTATGATTTCCTTATTGAATGGGACAAAAAAAACAACCTGTTTTTCGCTCCCGCCTCCTTTCTTCGTAACAAAAATACCCCAAAATAAGTAGCAAGAAGAGGCAAAGCATCCAGTTCTGCTTCCAAAGAACACCTGAGGTCACAAAAAACCACCGACAGTTTTGCTCAGTGTTCAGGCCAGGATAGATGACTTGCGCCCCACCTCTTCCCTGGCACATTCATCTGCTTGTTTCAGGAGCCTTCGAACCAGCTTCTCTAAATCTTTCCTGGACTTCAGCTCTTCTTCCAAACACTGTTTCATCCTTTTGTTTTCCTGCAGTGTGGGAAGGAGGAGACGGGTGTTGGTTTTCAAAGACACCAACACTCTTGTGATATGCAATAAATGAAGGCCTTGAACCAGACTGGTTCTAACCTCAGTGTCGGCTGACAATGGGAATTCAGGCAGGGTCTTGTGGAAATCCTGTTTTATCACTGGTCACCCACTGTTCTGCAGTGGGATCTCCAAGATCCAGAACTGGGGTCAGGGTGGGAAGAAGGGAAGCTTTTCCTTTCACTCTCAGCAGAAATTAATTTTTACATTTGTTTTACAAAAGGATGAGTGACATCCCTAGAGGCTAAAAAGTACTGTTAAAAAGCCAGCACAGTTGGACTGAGCCTCTGGCTTTGTATATATTCTCCATTTAATGTTGCAAAATAGGGAAGCGCACATGCAACTCCACTACAATCCCACTTACTTTACTGGGAATTTCACCCCTTGAGCAGCTGTAGGCTCAAACCCTTGATTTGCATGACATTCGTCCTGAACAAGGATAAGTCAGAGCATAAAATGCTCGCACAGCAAGATGCCCTACTTAACCACTCCTCTTTACCGACTTCAGGTTAACTTACTGACAGCTCATGCAGAAGTGTGTTAGTTACCTGCTTTAACTCTTTGACCTCATCCTTCAGTGCGTAAACAGTGTCTACGAGGCTCCTAGAAAATAAAGCAGATAGTTGATTTGCTACTGTGCAGCTCTTTATCTCAGTATAGCATGAGGGTTTGCTTTGTTTTTTTTAAGTACAGAAAGAAATGAGGTGGGCACGTACTTTCAGTTTGCAATTTATCTCATGCTTCCTCAGCCTGCAGTGCCATTACTGCTGTTTAGGTTATGTTTTTGCCAACGTTTCAGTGCTGAGGCCCATTCTAAGGCGCTACTAACGTGTGTCCATAAGTTCGTGCTCTGGAGTTGCAGTTGAGGAGCATACGGAAGTCCCATTTTTCAACATTTGGAAAGAGCTTATGCACTCACATAATTAAGTGGCTGTGACTGCTTTGTTTATGCCACTGTAACTAAAAATTATAGATGGTTTAAAAATTAAGCATCCAGGTCATGTTCATAATGCAAACTTTATACCTTGTGGTTACATGGTTAAAAACAAACTGTATAAAGAATGCACCGGCTGGATTAGAAAGTTACCAGAACATGTATTCATCTAGGGACCTGGGTGCCGGATGTGGTAACATTGATCAAACACAGATCACTTTTGTATAGTAATGTAAATTACACTGGTGACCAGAGCAGATGGAAAGACAGCTCTCCTGGGTTAGCTGCTGAAGCAGGCAATACTACAGTATCTTGTGACTAAGTGGAGGGAGAGGCAGTAAAGAGCTTGCTTGCATTGAAGAAATGTCTCTGCCAGGACAGAAGAGGACATATGACACCTATACTGGAATAGTTTTACAGGTTCTTCCTGAGATAACTCAACCCCAGTTTCTATTAAGTTATTTTGGCGTAGCGGCTTATGCCCTGGGTCTGCTCTTTGTTTACATTGGCATAAAGGCAGATTACACTAGTAGAAAGATGTTGTGTATCCTGCTCTGGGTCTCAGACATGTCAGACATTTAAATTTGTAGGATGCACAGGCAGACAAGGTTCTTTGGGTAAATCTGGTATATTTTATTAGACCAACTCAAATAGTTGAAAAAAAATCTTCTTTGCAAGCTTTCGGGCACAAACACCTTTCATCAGGCTGAGGAAACATCTACAGTTGGTCTGATACAGATGCGCAGAGCATGCATGGGTGACAAGAATGAAGGCTTGGAAGGAACAGTAACGACTGTACATATCAACAACCTACAGTTTAAGAATGGCTTATTTTACCTGGTGCAGTTAAAAATCCAAGTCCAGGACCCAAGCTGGTATAAATCAGCATAGTCCCCAGTAGAGCAGTACTGACTTACACTATCAGAGGACCTGGCCCCAGCTGACTACAGCGAAAGAAGGCCCAGCTTACACCACCTGGGAATCTTGCCTCCAACGTTGGAATGAAAAGATGCTAAATACAAATTAAAATGCACCGTTGCATTCCTTGTACACCCCAAACTCCCAGCGAGTGGAGAAACCCATGGCAGGGACATGCTGACCATCTATGTCCTTCCATTCATACCCATGCAGAGAAGAAAAGTCTTGTTGGTGTTTAAGATCTGACCACAAACACACTAGAGTTCACTGAAAAATTCTGAAGCATAAAGGCACAGAAGGGGAAGCCACAAAGCAGATGATCTGCCTACTTACTTTTCTTCGGTGACAGTCTGACCATTGCTTCTTGTTTCCTCCACAATAATTTTCTCTTCCTCGGGAAGTAATACCTGGGGGATGGAGTCCTTACGGGAACCTACAACAACAGGTACCAATCACAGAAGGAAACAGGAACTTTCTTCGGCAACTGACCCCATTTAGAAATAGAGTCAAACTCTGATCTGGTGCACCCTACTCTGTGTCAAACATACCTCTGTGGCAGGGACCAGAAGTGGGCTCCCCTTGTGTTACTTCCTGACAATCATCATCATCCTCGTTGTTGCTTAAGTCCAGGGATGTCCAACTGGCAGCTTGGAGTGGCCCCCACAGGGGTTCATTTGTGATCCCAGGCTCCCACCCAGCCACTGTTCCCCACATTGCTCTGGCTGCACGCTAGCAGCCAGGATCTCTTGGCTCCACTTTCTACCCCGACTTCAGGGGGCAATGCGGTGTGGCACAGCACAGACCACACCTGGGACCCCTGTGTGATATGTTACAGTGGGGGAGCTGCAGGGTGAGATGGGGCACCCATGCAGTGTGCTGCCCGGGGGACCTGTGGCTTCTGCTAGTTTGGCCTGTGTAACATGTTACCCCCATGAATGTGGCCTGGGGATGTGTGGCCCTTGGCCACTTCAAAGTTGAACAGCTCTGCATTAGTCTTTATATTATAGCAGCACACAGAAGCTCCAGGCAGAGTCCTAATAGAATGTGCATGGGTCCTATCTGGAGGGTGTTTCAAATGCCATTAATTACAAGTCTCCCTCAACCTATCTAGGAATTTAAGCCTTAGTGGTGGCCTGGTTTCAGCATGACCACTGTGAATACAGGAGCATAACTTCAGAGGGAGGGTGCAGAGCCAGGCCTCCATTCATTATTATTGTAGCAGAGGGTCTCTGCTAGACTGCCATCCTCATCCTCTCCAACATCATGATGCCCACATCTGTACTACCATGCATTAACAGCACCCTTAAAACGTGCATTGTTTGAGTGCTTCTAAGTACAGGAAATACTAACACTAAGGCAAACATCAACCAATACTCTGACTTAACAAAGCACCAAAACAAGTGCTTACACCGAAGCACTTAAGTCCCACTGATTTAAAATGTGTTATGAGTGTTTTGCTTGATAGGGATGGACATAACTTAGAGCACATGCTTAAGTGGAAGCTTATGAGATTTGCTGAATAGGGTTAAAATACTAAGACAGCAAATACACAGATCACCGTCAGCTATCTGAAGCTACTTGATAAATGAAGTCATTTGTTAAGGGTTAAGATCTATTAGAAGATACATGTTCTATGGTCCCTCATTTTTTAATGTGAAATTAAATCAGTGAACTATCACCCTAGGCTATATCTCACCAGCACTGGTAAATATTTCCAGAGTTTAAGAAGATGTTAGATAGTTGGGTTCTTATGAAGCAGCTCGTTTTTAAATATGAAGCTGATCAAGAGATAATACTCATGCTTCCTTTCTAAAGCTATCTGCAGTCTGAGATTAGCATCAATGTTTTATGCTCACAGCCACAGGCAATAACTAGGTTTGTTTAATTCCTAACAACTTCACCTTGCTGGTGAAGTAACTGGGTCTCATCTAACCTCCTACTTGCTCATTCTCTGTGTTTAGAAGAAAAACAATGGCAAAATAAACCACTAGGTATCTGCAGCTTCCTTATCTTAAAGATAAACACGACACGGCTTCTTAGCCCCATTCTTATTGCTCTATGATGCAACAATCTGTTTTTCCTAAGAGGTTATCATCGTTTTGAATACATCATGAATTAAGCACTACATTTGTGTGCCCACCTGAACTGAGAGTCTGCTGAAAGCCTGCACCAGTGCAGTATGCCTCAATGACTTTCAGAATCTGTGCATCTTCTTCCAGTGCAGCGGTACCTGCAAACCATTGCAAACACTGGCCATTATTAACAGCAGGATACTTTGGCATCTTCCCCTTTCAACCCCCCTGAGACAAATTAACTAAGAACAGAACCTTGCTTTTATGACAAATGTCTGTCTGGCAATGGTGCAAAGATAATATTGGGGAGGGAGAGCTTTGTACTGTATCACGGAGACTGGCTGGTTAAGGGGTATGGTCCTAACTGACTAAGAGGTACTATCACAGCACAGGTCTGACTAAGGAAGGATGGGGAAGTCGAACAGCAAAGACCAACTAGAGAGAAGGTAGTAAGAATAGTCAGGTAGGAACTTACTTATGATATGATGGATTTGAAGGGAAAATAAACATACTTGTTAAGAAAGTGCAGGCGTAATACCCCCCTGCTAGCTTCTTAGAAAGAAGGGTGATGCAGCAGCTTCAGAACAGTAGTGGAGTCAGGAAGTGTCTAACCCCGACTCAGACACTGCCTCTCCCTGGACAAATCACTTATCTATTGCAAAGTTTTACACTGCTGCCCATCACCAGTCACTAGATCCCTTCCATATGAAAATCAATAAGAGCGCCCTATCTGGACTTCCCTGAGTTGCAAGGTATGGTTTTGGGTATGTGCACATGTGAGAACTCTGGATGTTAACTCCAGAGTTGGAGCCATTGGCAGAGAAAGATTTGTCTTGCCTTGGACCGTATGGATCCACAATATCCCAGGCAAGCACACATATATCACATAGGTTCATAGACTGAAATTAGACTTTAAGATAGTTTTGAGGATTATGGTTTCTGCACCATATCCCTCCCTGAATAGTGAAAACAACTTGCCCAGCTACCTCACAATACTTTTGTGATATAAAATCATTCTTAACTTCATTGAGTTAAATACTAAGAATTCCCAGAAGGGCCCACCAAACTAAGCTGCATGGCAGCTGTGTTCGGCATGGTGGGGAGCCTCCCAAGATTAATGATTTATTCAGTCACTCTGTTTTGATTGCTGACTTTTGGGTGGCTTATTGGGCAGACAGAAACCAGTGCCAGAGAAGAAAAACGTACTCTTTCTGATGACAAACTCCTCATCAGATGCTTTTCTCTCAGTTTTCCTTTTTGGGAGAAACTTCTTCATTGTCTTTGGACTCTTGCTGGAATCCTATAAAAAACAGATGTTTCTTTAAGGTAAGAGCTAACAGTAGCTGAAATGACAGAGCTTCTCTGAACACAGCTCATTATGTTAATGCTGTACACAGAAGGCTAGCAGGCACACAGTCAACATCAGGGAAAACTAACAACATTCAGCTCTATCCCTGCATTATGTCTGGATGCACTGCACCTGGTCATAGCAACTGAAACACGGCATGACAAAACCCTTTGGAGAGAAGCACAATCTGCTAAAACAGTAGTTTTCAACCTGTGGTCCACAGAACTGGGGATCTGCAGACTGTGCCTAAGGGGTCCACAAATGATGACTATGATCAGTTAAAAGTATGTGAATACCTAAACTTACAATTCAAAAGGGGTCTGGCACTTCCATCTGAAATTTCCATTCATATTTTTGGGGGGTTCACGAATGAAAAATGGTTGAAAACCACTGTGCTAAAATATAGGCTTTTTCCAAGGGAAAAACGTTCACGAGAGAAGATCAGTGAGATCACCTTTTAAGTTCACTGCTGTAAGCATTCTCTACAGAACTATGCAAGTGATACGCAATTTCATTCTTCTTCAGTTAGAATGTATTATCAATGACACGCTGTTTTTAATGCGCACACACTACTCATGGGTGTGTCTGAACATACTGACCCCCCCACATACATATACACAGAACATATAAACACACAGAGTTAGTGCCTAACATTGTAAAAGTAAGAAACAGGTTTTACTTCTTTTACTAAGTTAAATTATTCTTACAAAGTGTGAAAGCACTTGCATATTAAAAGATTACATGCAATGTAAATATTATGGGGTAAAGTAAGAGTGTCATGCTTTTCATGCAGTACAGTGTTAGTGTCATAGGATTAAATATTTTTCTGAGTTTTTTTTAAAATCCATTTAGCCATCAGAAGGGACTCACGCTAAAGATTACTAGCAGTCAGGAAAAAGCAAGCAGGGAAAAAAAAATCAGCTAAGAGACACAGGACAAGTATTTTATGTCACGATAAGCCAAAGACATGTATCTACCCTTACCTTTAAGATATAAGACATCCTCTACAATGAATATGTAAAGAAAGAGAAGATGAGTGGTGAGAAGTTGATAGTTTTATTGACCAAATCCATTTAAATCTATCATTCTAAAACACATTTTAATGTTAGCATTGCAAGATATGTGCTACAAGGATGGGCACCCCCTCTACACCAGTTTTAGAGCAATATCAACATGCAAGAGACCCAAAAAGAGCAGAATTACATGCAAAACTGTGACTGTTAAAAAAAAAAATTAATTGTGAAAAAGGTGGCAAGCAGGACTGTATGCCTATGAGAGCAAAAAAGAGATCATGCCTCATTGGTTAGTTGGATTTTGAGGATTAGCAAGTTGGTTTCCTGGCCTGGTAACCTGCTTGAAGGTGTTCCCTGATAGCTCAGCCGGTTTCATGAAGGAAGTCCTGGGGGCTGCATTTACACAAATGGGTCCCATTACAAATAGTTTTGTAAGGTAAGGTCCTGAGAACTTGTGTGACACAGGTTTTATTCCAGCCCAGATTCTTTCCCCAGTTGTACGCAGAGAGGTACAACTTTTGCTCAGAAATGTACTGATGTAATTAATCTTACAAGTGATTCAAGGCAGGTAATTTTTTGAACTACAAAAAGTATGCCAGTCCTCACACCCCAGTAACCCCAATCCAGACATACAATTTTACCAAGGGGCACCTCCTCTGTAATTTCAAACGATGACTAGACACTGAACAGGAAAAATGACCCAATTTGAATGGAAATGACAACAGAGGTACACAGCACGTAAGCAGTGTTCTGGGGTTTCCTGAATACAGTTAGATACGAGAAAAAACACACAAACCTGTGAAATTCCGTCCTTTGCTACCAGAAGCCAATTGATATATCACTGGATGTCTCAAAATCTCTGGTCTTTTCATCAAACCCATACCCCACCCTACCTGGAAAATAACTGATTTCTTTCAATGGCAGACTCATGCTCTTGAGAGAAATTTTAATTCATGCAATGCATCTTTGAATAGAAACCTAACCTAGTCTGAGCTGTTATCCTAGTTTCATACTTGATTTACTCTGCTTGGCATTGTTTGAGTTTTAAAAAAACTTCATAGAAATAGCAGTTCTGCTTAACTTTGTGACTGAACTGACTGAACTTGAGAGAAGAGGGAAAGGGTGGCTGAAATGCGGCTTGTTTAAGTAACTGAATTCATCTCCTATTTGTATTTGGCCACCACATGCTTGTGCCTATAATTTAAAAGCTATATTGTCACCTGCCAGGTAAGTGCAGGAGCTAGGAATTAGACTCATAAACTCTGAGTCCGGTATCCCATGTTTTACAATATTAGGCATTCAAAAACAGAGCCAAATTCTGGGTTCAAATGCATGTGCATGTGTGAACATCTCCATCTGGCACTGTCATCATGTAAATTCATTTGGATTTAGACAGGTGTAACCAATCACTTCAAAGACAGGCAACATTTTGTATTCCCTAACTTTACTCCTCTCCTCCTCCTTCCATGCCCCCCGCCCTCCTTCAGCCTCAGTCAAAAGAACCTGACCAGTTAGCATGTTACAGATGTGAGTCACACCTGGTTCAGCTTTTGCTTGTAAGTGGATTATAATTAGCAAAAGACAGGTGACACCAACATTTTTTTAAAGCTGTATGCTGGGATGGGGGAGGATGGCCAGTTGCCAGAGAATAAGGGTGCACTTCACAAGCGCTGCCTCTACACCTGACGCTGTTGCCAGCTGCGTTTGCACCAGGCCTATGCTGAAAAGACACAAAGACTTAACAGCTCACGGTCCTAGGCCTAGTCCTGCCAGAATAAGCTTGAGGCATACTGGTTGGGCAGCTTTGCTGTGCCTGCTCCATCAGCATTTAATCAAGTTTCGCTGTTAACTTGGCCATTTTCAGCGAGCACATGCTTCCCTTGCACCTTTTCAATTAAGGTGTGCCGGGTGTGAGTGGGAATTGCAACCAGAAAGTTGCCCTTGGCAGGCAGAGGGCTGCTGATGCCCATGTTGTGCATTGTAATATCACCGCAGCCTGACCTCCTGCTTGTTGGGAAACCTCCATAGCATACAAGCCCGGAGGACCAGCACAACCAAAGTCATTCTCGTATTGCATTCCTGTGGCATCACCATTGATAAAGTCTATTCTGGAGAAGCCTGGATTGGTTTTCTAAGCCAATATTCTAACTTACGCTCAGAGTTCAGAGTTCAGAGTTATCCAGGGATAACCATACCTGAGAAAGAGGCATGGAAGGCCGTGATGTCATTGACTAACATTAGTCAATCTGTGTGTTTTTGGCCTTTCAAAAAAGATATTTTATTGTTGTAGAGGAGCGACTGCTCCTTGGTTAAAATCTAAACAGGGCCTCTTATCTGTCATGCAAGAAAGAAACCGTTTAGTCTAAGTGAGGGGCTGGGAACATGCAAAGATTAAGGGGTTTTTATTATTATTTTAAAAAACCAACAATTTAGTCTTCAAAAGAACATTTCTTCTGCATTTTATAAATACAAGTTTCTCAGCTAAACTGCCACAGTGATGTCAAACGTCTCATCATAACCAGGCCAATCTGGCAGCACCCATCTCCCCTTCTGTTAGGCTTCAGTTTTGATGAATATTGCAATCTCGGAAAAGGAGGGGTTTGTAACTAACTGAATGGCTGTCCGGGGGGGGCCTTCAGGCTACAATGCTGAGCACTATGCAGTAAAGTTCACACCTTTTCACAAGAATAATCAGTGATTCAGAACCGGAGTCATCTACTACTAATGAGAACATTACCCATGTTTGAAGTGAGTAATTCAAAATGTTTGCTTTGAAATTGGGGAGGATGGTCCTGTGGTTAAAGCCAGGGACTGAGAACCAGAGCTATCTGAGAAGCAGACTTTGTTGCAGGTTGCACCCACAGACTTCCCAGGTATCACCTAAACCCCAAATGTAAGTTTCTTGCAAGAGATAAGACTGACAGATATTCTGTGATACTAAAAAGATTAAACATTTGTGAAGCATTTTGGGGGGATTCCTGCAGAGAAGTAAAAAGCATTTATTGCTGTCATCTGGTGACTAACATATCTGTAATCCAGCCACCAAAAATATGGCATGGAGGAATGTGATAGAAATACATGGTGGTTTTCCATCCCACTACAGTCCTTCCCTAGGCAAATGTTTCTAGCTACTAAGCTACACAGTCGCATTACATAAGAGCGCCTCGCAGTACAGAGGCAAGGCTCCCAGTGAGAGCTGTGACTAAACAAAGACCGCAAGAGTGGGCTCACTGGAAACAGTGCAACTGAGTCTCCAATCCTGCAAACACCTGGCCCCAGTCTTAATTTAAAGCACATAGCTGGTTTTATTGCCTGGTTTCATCCCGTGCCTCAGTGTTTGTAGGACTGGGGTCTGTGCTGTGCAGTCCTTTTTAAAATCAGTATTCATTCAGGGGCATTAAATCAACCCCTCTCCTGAATTATCATGCAAAGCAATTCTGTGCACAAACCCCACAATCTACTGTCTGCGCGAAGGATTACCTCTTTGTAACTCAGAGCTGCTGATGGCCTGAGTGGAGGAGCAGGTCGGAGGCAACTTAAGGTCCAGGGTTTAAGAATTTTGGGTGGTTCCAGTGGGCCACGAATCTGTCCAGTGGAACTAAAAGACTGAGAAAACAGACAGTGAGACAATGAAGGCTGTGTGGCATTGCATATAACACATGCACAAGAGCAGGGAAAACAGGAGCTCTCTCCATCTAAACTACCGTAAGAAGCTCACCTTGCAACAAAATTGGAAATGGAAATAAGACAAATGACTTCTGTAGCTATAGTGTCAGTCGTCAGCTATATAGTCAGAAGCACGATGAGGGGTCATAACCACAACCTCTATGAAAAACTGCAAGGCTGTGTAAGAGGCTTAGTTACAGTCATATTCTACAAGAAAACCTGGTCGATAATGCAGCACAGTGAAATGCAGAAAGGATTGGGATGTTCTACCACACTCACCGAATGACCACTCCACGACTGTGTTTTTGATATCGTGTTGCATGTCCCTTTGGTCACCCTTTGCAAATGGTCAAGCCATTCGTGCAAATCCTGGCTGCTGTTACAGGACACCACGATTCTTTCGATCATGTTCCCTGCATTGTAGGATTAAATGACATTCTTTATAACAGTGCAGAGAGAGAAAATAGCCAAGCCAAACTCATTCTGACAGCAAAAACTTCCCGAGTTTGCCATGCGATATAGCTGCAAGAAAAGGCCAGTACAAAGGCACGGCATGAGAAAGGAGAAAGAGAACAGTCCTTTAAACAGGTTTTGGGACAGGCTCAGCTAAAGTCAGAGGGGGTTTCTTGACTAGCCTCAGTGGGTTTGGGGGATTGGGTATACAACTCTGAGGAAAGGTTGCGGGACATGAACCTGTTCAGCCTTCAAAAGAGAAGGCTGAGGGGGGATCTTGTGGCCTGTTATAAACTGGTTAGGGGGGATCAGCAGGCGCTGGGGGAGTCCCTGTTCCCCCGAGCGCCGCAAGGAGTGACCAGGAACAGTGGTCACAAGCTGGC